GGTTTAAAATAGAACCCGAAGGTTAAACGAGAACGCGAAACGCGTTAAGAGGCCGCAAAACGACAAGGCCAAAATATCTGGCAGATGAACGCCAAATAATTAAAAATAAAAATAAAAAAAATAAAACATTAAACGGCTGCAAAGCAATAAGGCCAAGATTTGGCAAAAGAACGCAAAAGCGTTAAAAATTTTATTGAAAGGGAAATAGCCCTAGCTCTGATACCATGTTAAAGTAAGAGAGAGAGAGAGAATCTTGGGTAAATTTCCCTTGAATTGAATATTGAGTGTGCACATATATTTATACAAGTAGAGGAGTGTGAGGTTTGTTCTCCCAAGCAATGTGGGACTAAAACCCACTACAATACACTATTATCAACAAATGAAAAATTAAGGTGAATGCAGTTGAATATATTGAAACGAAGATGTAGTCAATTTAGAAAATGGCCCTCTTTTTTGAACAAGAATATATAAATTAAGAGGCCAGGTACAAGTTCTCCGAATTAGAACAAGGGATGATCTCTTCTTTTAATGCCTATCTAAATTCCGAGTTCAAGCTCTTGATTATGACATTTTAGGAATCAGTGATATACTATTCTATAATCATTGCCCTCTTGATTAAGACATTAATAGGAATAATTAAGCTTAATTATATTCTAACCTTATGACGTCCATAGATCTTTAATAGAAAGTCAACAGTCCAAAGTCTTCTCATAGCTCTACACCCCCTTTTTGAATCTTGCAGCTCACTAGCTTAGGATCAAGGGCCAAGGTCTAAGCACTTTTATACTTGCATGAAGCTTGATTAGCTTGAGATTCACCGGCTTTTAATTTGATGCTAAAGCTGTCTATGTTATAATTTGTGTTCAAGGTTTGTCAAAAGGAAATCCAATTAATCTTAGGTCGTATGACACTTATTTCATCTTAACTTTTAGAGGGTACGTCGAACTTCAACTCTATTTGTTTCTAGCGAAGAAAATAATAATCTTCAAATTAATATGAAAGGAACCCATCGGGCTACTTTACTAGGATGGTTGGATGGATACACTTCTTGCTCAATTGTCTCAGATTCGAATACTCTGCGAGTGTCTTCAAAATTGGAATTGATCTAAGCAGGTGGGCCTCCTAGAATTTTTCTCGAAAACGTTGAGTCCTCACGATGGTTTATGAGGGTTTGAATTAGGGCTGTCCCTCGGAGGCAGGAGTCTTTCGATTAAGATTTCTCCGTTATCAACAAAAGAAAAGAAAAGGACACATCTCTATAGCTTGATCATGTGATGATTCAACTATGCGATAATTTTTGAAGGAACACGGAGGAAGACATTACTCACATTGATTTTACAGTTCATGGAAGCTAGCAAGTGTTATATTCCATAGTAGAGTTTACAATACATGAAAGCAATTGCTCTTTCTCCTTTTGAGATAATCAAAAGATTACATCAAGAAAATTAGGGGAAATTTTTTGATAAAAACGAATTTAATTCACCGAAACACCAATACTGAGGAAAATTAACAAGAATCTAGGCTTGCTGGCTTGGCCCAAATCAAACTCGATTCTCTTTTCTAACAAAAGATCTCCATTAACAACAGTATAACTCACCTTAGTAGTCTTAATCATTAATGAATGAGCAAGTGCAATGAACCTGCATCAAACCTCATTAACACTTAATTGCTAGATTGATTGTATCTTAAGCAAAGAGACAAATCACATCAAACCCTGAGAATTTTTTAATTTCTCACTTATCAGTTTGGCCCCATTAATATTAATATACTAATTATATGACGAGATCAGGATCAAGTTAATTAAATAATTACGGTCCCTTTCTACATTGGAGCTGGACTGATGTTAGGCGCGTGAGCCCGTGAATATAGGTGTACGGTCCGCACTTGATCCAGCGCTGACTGAAATGATGTAAACGCCTAACCGCAAAATGTCAGTATTAAATGGTTTTATTTTATTTTATATATTTTATTTTATATAGTTAATGTTATAGTATCCTACGGATCATGGGTATTAAACCCTGAAACAGGGCTCGGGTACTCAAGAAAATTAAATTCATGTGGGTGCTCTTCAAGAGAGTTAAACATGAGACATCGGAGTACTACTCATAGACAATTTGACAACTCAGCTAGGTTCTTTTGGGTGTCGGTATTAAATAGTTTAAGACTAATTTGCATGTATGTAGAATTATTTCCGACATACTAATAATAATACTATAGAGTTTTGCTAAGGAATTCTAACATGTTGGGATTAATGGTTATTATAAAATACATCATTTGTTCCTTAATTGGTATCATGATTTTGAATTCAACAGTTATTTTTCTAATAATAATGGTTAGTACATGTTCATTTTGCAGCAGAGAGACAGATTAAAGCCTGGGTTAATTTCGGAAAGCCACCATGAACTTTGGGTGGATTTTGCACATAAACCTTCGTGAAGTTTTTTTTTATCATACAAAACCTCCTGAATTTTGGCATGTCTCACAAAATCCCTTGAACTTTGGGATGTCTCGTGAAACTCCTGCTAAGTTTCAATATTTTTCATTAGATTTTGTTGGGAATTTAACGCCTAAATCCCCTAATGCAACAGAAACGCAGTATAGAAAAAGTACACCAAGATTTACGAGGTTCGGCAACTGCCTACGTCCTCGGGAGCCACACAGATAATTTCTTATTAATCAAACAAGAAATTACAATTTAGGAGCGTATCTCAAAACTGAGATTTCTCTGATAAACACTGTAGCTACAGTGTTAATAATCAAAGGGTATGAACCCTTTCAATTCTCACTTGAGAATAAATGAATAACCCCACAATAAATACCCTCTTTAATCCTCTTTAATGATCTCTCTCTCTCTCCTCTTAAATCCCCTTCTCTTAATCTCCCCTTAAGATTCTCAAATCCTAAGCGCTGGAGAAAGAGGGAAAACGCAGCTGCGTTTTTAGGGTTCCGCCGCCAGAGGAACAATCGGAGGAGGGGAAGAAATCAGCAGCGCAGCAACGAAACCCTAGGGGCCTTTTTATAGGCGAGGTGGATGAGCTGGCGACAGCCTGTCGCCAGCGGCCCACGGACGCAAAGGTGGGGGCAAACGCCGAGGTGGGGTCGAACGCAGAGTTGGGGGTCGAACGCAGAGCTGGGGTCGAACGCAGAGCTCGGGGAGGCGATCGCACGCGGGGCTCACGTTCGTCGTCGACTTCGCCCGAAGTTCGTTGCCCACGCACGCCTGCAACATCCATGAGCTCGCCGGAGCTCTTCGTCGCCTGAGGTGAGTTTGATCTACACCTTTTTCAACACTTTCCTAACCATGTTAACAAGAGACTTTACCGAAAAAGTATCAATGAGGATGAAGAGAGGACCATAGCCGTTATTCAACGCAGACACTGATACATTGACCTATGGGCCAAATCCAACCTCAAGTTCATGACTTGAGAAATATCAGATTTCTATAGTCAAACGGAAACGGTACATAATAAATCAAGTGTTCTGCTAAAACAGCAGAGATATACAAGATAGAAGTTACAGCCAGAATCAAAAAACCAAAAAAAAGGTTCAAAATAGTCCGAAAAACTCTCTTGCAATTTTTCTTTTTCCATTCAGATTTCCAGCATCTCGTAGAGCTCCACTGCACCCCTGATGTTCCTGTCCAGCCCAAAAGAGTTAATTATATCTGAGAACAGTGAACATTTTTTAACATGATGATCAATTTCTTCCGACCCCTCAAAAAGATGGATCTGGATTCAATGCACAGTATCAAAGTGTACTGACTAAACCTATGAGAACCAATCAAATTGGCAATGGTCTAATCTTCAATGAGAACCATGTAAACGTTACACCAACCAAGGACTAGGACTTTTCGCTGAATAATGGAAGATATATAGGTGTCAATATTAATAAGATAAAAGAACATTCAGAGTTCCTAATATAATTATGCACATTGTAATTAATTGCAAATCATTAGATATCACAGAAAGAGGGAATGTATGAAGATTCTCTTTGTCGTTCTCATTCTTAACAAGATATAGCCCTTCGTCTTACTAGTAGCAATCTTGTATATATGCAAATAGTCCAAGCAAAGGTAAGAGAAAATCTTACACGCAACACCCCTAACTCACTTAAAATAAATGTTGAATTACTTTCAGTTTTGTAGAACGTAAAATGACCAAGTTTAAAGTTTCTTTACAATCTAGACGACGAGGATCAAGCACAAGTACAAGTAAGTTACTTTAATATTTAGTACTGCAAATAATAGCATCGCTTGATTGTATAAAGAAGCAATTAGGTACACCAGGGTGAAAACTAGTACAGCACTGAAATGAATCTGTGCTTTAGTTCCCATATATAGTACAGAATAGCATAACAACAATCATATATTAAAATAATATGTATAAGGTGACAGATAATTATGTTAAACGAGCTATCAAGGTAGAGCCACGTGATGAGGTCCATTTTAAAAGTTACGTCAAAATGTGCAGACCTAACACCGTTATCTTTTGCTAGCTCATTTTACTAAACGAGCTGCTACCTCATAACCATCAAACCTGATATCAGTATTTTAAAAAAAAGTAACATAAGCTGACCTATGGGGGCTTAAACTTGGCATGAGCAGGCAAACTAGGCGTCTAGACCGCCTAGCCAGTACCTGCTCATGCCAAATTTAAGCGCCTGGAGGTCCACTTATGCTGTTTTTTTAAAACATTGGTATCAGGTTCGATGGTAGTGAGGTGACGGCTCATTTAGCAAAATGAGCTAGTAAGAGATAAAAATGTGAGGTTTACAACTACTGATGTGACTTTTAAAATGGACCTCATGACGCGGGTTATATCTTAATAGCTCATTTAATGAAACGAGCGTCCACATCACACCTATTATTTCATGTATGATTCTTGTTCCGTTTCTTCGGGCTAGGCATAGGAACTAAAGCTCAACCTCATTTCGGTGTACTAGTTCACCCAGGTGTACTTAATTTGCTTCTTCATACAATCAGTGATGCTATTATCTGCGATATTAGATATGAAAGATGTTGGAGCCCAAAAACGGCCCAAAATCAAATAGTGGAGGCGAAAGTCGGCCCAAACCCTCAGCCCAAACGCCCCATTCTCGTTATTATTCCCCCAAAACCCGATCCCAACCTATCTCCGCCGCCATTGTCACCTTCTCCCGCCGCCGCCGATCAAACCCACCAAGCTCGCCATCGCCAATCTCCACCTCCGACCAAGCCCAAGGTGACAAATTTCTCTCTTTTTTTATTTATTTCTAATTTCAACTATATATTCTTGATTATTAGGTTGTTTATAGCTCAATGTTCTCTTATAATTGTTTTTTAACAGTGAATTATTAGTTAGTTACTTGATAAGTTTACTTAATCAATTGAGTGTTATATTATTATCAATTTAATTGAGACGAACAAAAGCTATTGTTAAGTGTTACATTAAGTAATGAAGTAACAATAACAGTCAAGTCAGTTATGCAATTAAATTGAGTTGAATTAGTTGTCCACAATAGCATACTAGCAATGATCTTGCTCGCTGTCACTGTAATTTATTTTTGACTTTTTTTTTACTGTTTTGTTTAAAAGTCACTTATGAAGTTTCATTTTTTGTTAATTAGAGTGAGTTTGTTAACAGTTCTTAGTTTGTTGATGTGCCCCCCTTTGTCTGTGGCCTTTACAACACTATTTTCTCTCCTTTTTATCAATTGTTGTACTTAAATAATAAAAAAAGGAAAACGCCTAGGCCCCTAGGCGCTAGGCCACGGGTCAAGCGTCTGGTCCGCCTAACTCTTTCTGTAACATTGCTTGTTATACTCTCAAGGAGTTCACTTTTTGTCATGTATATGTTGAAACTTGAAAGCAATAAATTAAAAAACTTGGCTTTGCATGGTAATAAACAAGGAGATACTCTACAACTAAGAAAGCTTAATTTGATAATGTACATACATATATCAAGCAACATACGATTTCCTTGGTTTCAGAATCTAATTTGATATTGTACATATGTCTGTTACAAGATTTTTTTCACTGAGCGAGAAAAGGAAAAAAAAATATTACCGAAACAAATTATGGTTTAGTATGTAAATGCTCATCACGCGCAACTAGTGCTTTAAATACTTCATATAAAACTAAACGAAAGGTAAGGTAATTCGATAATTGAGATTGTCTACAAACTTATTTCTATAAAATATCATAGGCTGTTTATTCCACATCTTGTACCATGTTTATGTGTAAGTTTGTTGGCAAGTCAATAATAGTTGTCACTGGTTGTTGATGCCAGCAATCCTCCCTTATTTTGTCGAGTTTTTCATAGTAAGTTATAGCCAATCTTATTTGACACCCTCAATTGCATTGTTTTGTTGAATAAGATATAATCTATTGAACTTGGTCCAAGGTTCATGTAATCTAGCACCTACCCAGTGTCAGTTGTTCTGCTAAAGAATGTTGAAGAAAATCTTGCAATAGATGTATGTTCAATGTCAAATTAGATTCTGAAACGAAAGCAATCATATTTTGCTCGATATGTGTATGAACAGTTTCAAATTAAGCTTTCTTAGCTGTAGAGTATCTCCTTGTTTATGTCCATGCAAAGCCAGGTTTTTTAATTCGTTGCTTTCAAGTCTCAACATATACATGATAAAAAGTGAACTCCTTGAGATTATATCAGGTTCAATGGTTATGAGGTAGCAGCTCATCTAGCAAAATGAGCTAACAAGAGATACAAGTGTGAGGTTCACACCTTTTGATGTGACTTTTAGGATGAACTCGTCACGTAGCTGTATCTTAATAGCTCACTTACAAATGAGCCATCACCTCATACTGTTATTTCCATGTATAATTCTTGTTCTTTTTCTCCAGACTATGTATAGGAACTAAAGTTCAAATTCATTTCGGTGTACTAGTTCACCGAGGAGTACTTAATTGCTTCTTTATACAATCAAGTAATGCTATTATTTGCAGTACTAGAAATAATTTGTTTGTACTTGTGCTTGATCCCTGTTGTCTAGATTGAAAAGAAACTTTGTACTTGATTATTTTACATTCTACAAAACTGAAAGTAATTTAACATTTATTTTAAGTGCGTTAGGGGTGTTGCATGTAAGATTTTCTCTTACCTTTGCTTTGACTATTAGCATATAAGACTGTCATTGGTAAGACGAAGGACTATGTCTTGTTGAGAATGACAACAACATATGGAATCTTCATGCATTCTCTCTTTTTGTGATGTATGATTTGCATTTTACAAATAATTACAATGTGCATAATTATATTAGGAACTCTGACTGTTGACATTAAATCTAATTGAAGATTAGACCATTGCTAATTTGATTGGGTTTCATAGGTTTAGTCACTACACTGTGATACAGTACCTTGAATCCAGATCCATCTTTTTGGGGTATCAGAAGAAATTGATCATCATGTTAATTAATGTTTTTTTGTTCTCAGGGAGCTAATATGCAAACTGAGAGGTCTGAAACTACAAAATAAGAAGTCCTGCACGAATGAGCTATTTTTATTCCGTGAGCCTCATCCATTATTCTTCATCCATTATTCTGCATTTGGTCCGATGCTAACGTTCCCTTCCTATAAAAACAGCTCCAACCTCTTGAAAAGAATTGCCGAGAGAGTCTCTGGTGCCACAGCTTTGAAGTCTCATTGCCTGCTGCAACTGAGATCGAACAACGTGCACCTGCTGTCATATACAGGGTACCAGTCTTCTTGCCTCGGGCAATTGTCATTGCGCCCTTTGAGATCTTCCAATCATCTCCATGGAAGGTTGTGGTGTATCCTTCGCCAGCCAACTGGCCTACGGATATTAAATTCTTTCTCAGGTCGGGAATATGCCTGACATCCTTCAGCTCCCATACTGACCCGTTCAACTTAATTTTCACCACGCCTTTGCCCACAATAGCACATGGTTGATCATCACCAAGATATACGTATCCAAGTTTTCCGGGGGTATACTTCTCGAAGAATTCTTTCTGAGAAGTAGCGTGGAACGACGCTCCTGAATCTAACACCCAAGATTCCTCCTTGCTCTCCAAAGAGCATATCAATGCGTCGTCTCCTCCTGAAGTGGATGTGACATTCACCTCTGCCTTTGCCTCCTTCTCTTTCTGTGCACTCTTGCACTGATTCTTGTAATGCCCGGTCTTTCCACAATTCCAACACTCGATAGCCTTCGAGCTGTTGCTTGGATTCCTTGATTTGGACCTCCTGTCCTTTGATCTACCTCTGTAGTTTGATTTTCCTCGTCCGTTTCCTCTGGTTGAATTTCTACCTCTTGACTCTGTATGCAATACTGAAGAGGTTGTAGCTTCACCAGTCTCTCGCCGTCGGATCTCCTCACTGAGAACCAAATCACGAACGTCGCTGAACTTCAACTTTTTCTTTCCCGACGAGCTACTCACAGCTGTGACTGTAGCGTTCCAACTCTCTGGTAGGGAAGACAACAATATCAACGCCCGAACTTCTTCATCAAACTCAATCTCAACTGAACTCAATTGGGTTGTAACCGTATTAAGTTCATTGAGGTGTTGTGCTACTGACGCGCCTTCCGCCATTTTCAGATTGAATAACCGCCGCATCAAATGAACTTTGTTCGCGGCTGATGGCTTCTCATACATGTTTGAGAGTGCTGCCATAAGACCTGCCGTGGTCTTCTCCTTCGCTATGTTGAACGCAACATTGCGAGTCAACGTCAATCTGATAACTCCGAGGGCTTGTCTATCTAGAAGGTTCCACTCTTCTTCCTTCATAGAATCTGGCTTCTTCCCCGATAGTGGTTGATACAGATTTTTCTGATACAGATAATCCTCTATCTGCATTTTCCAGAATCCGAAATCTGTTCCATCAAATTTCTCAAGTCTCATTTTTGCCTCATCTGTGGCCATGGCTCCCACTTGAATCTGACTTGTTCTAGATCGTTTCACGCTCTGATACCAGTTGTTGGGAATTTAACGCCTAAATCCCCTAATGCAACAGAAACGCAGTATAGAAAAAGTACACCAAGATTTACGAGGTTCGGCAACTGCCTACGTCCTCGGGAGCCACACAGATAATTTCTTATTAATCAAACAAGAAATTACAATTTAAGAGCAAATCCCTAAACTGGGATTTCTCAAATGAACACTGTAGCAACAGTGTTAATGATTAAAGGGAATAAACCCTTTCAATTTATCACTTGAGAATAAGTGAATGTCCACAATAAAACCTGAGAATAAATAACCCTACCCTCTTTAATCCTCTTTAATGATCTCTCTCTCCTCTTAAATCCCCTTCTCTTAATCTCCCCTTAAGATTCTCAAATCCTAAGCGCTGGAGAAAGAGGGAAAACGCAGCTGCGTTTTTAGGGTTCCGCCGCCAGAGGAACAATCGGAGGAGGGGAATAAATCAGCAGCGCAACAACGAAACCCTAGGGGCCTTTTTATAGGCGAGGTGGATGAGCTGGCGACAGCCTGTCACCAGCGGCCCACGGACGCAAAGGTGGGGGCAAACGCCGAGGTGGGGTCGAACGCAGAGTTGGGGGTCGAACGCAGAGCTGGGGTCGAACGCAGAGCTCGGGGAGGCGATCGCACGCGGGGCTCACGTTCGTCGTCGACTTCGCCCGAAGTTCGTTGCCCACGCACGCCTGCAACATCCATGAGCTCGCCGGAGCTCTTCGTCGCCTGAGGTGAGTTTGATCTACACCTTTTTCAACAGATTTCTCTATCAACAGATTGCGAATAACTAAAATGTTCTTGAGAGAGAAAAAAAAAGCTTCTACTTTGAGATGCGATATGTTTCATGTGGAGAAAATTCATAAGCATAGTTTACTAATTTTACACGTGAAGACGGATTAACTTACCTCGTGCCATATGTTGTCTTTGTAAATTTTTTATTTCCGGATATGAGAAAAATCTTAGCCAGGCATGATAACTTTTATGCTGAATTAAGGCCGAGTTTTATTCCTGTTCCCTACCAAGTAAATCCAAGGTGTGTGGGTCGTACCTCCAAATCCATGCGCAGACATGATCGAATCAGGGATTTGGCGAGTGTTGGTAGTATTACCGTCGCGTCCTAGGCCGCCTCCGCTACCCGTCCGCGTCTTAATAAATTTTATGGGTAAGACTCCTATCAACTTAAGTTAATGTCCACCAAACTTTCTAGACACTCATTTATTAATATAAAAAATTTTCTCATATCATGCAAGGATCCCTAGGCAATTTGAGTGGCTAAAAATTAAGTTTGGTGGACAACTTTTTGCTATCCACTTAAGCTGACACAAGTTTTGCTCTAAATTTTATTGAAATTAAAAAGAAGAAATGGAGAAGAGTTCTATATTTGATAAATCTTATTTTCTATCAAGAGAACAATAATCGTAATTCAACAACGATGTGGCCCGGCCTGATCGATGCTGTGGCATTTTATCAAAAGTCAGGTGCTTCCTCTCAGACGACCCAACAACCTACAATTACGCATCTCATCCTGAATTTTAAAAAGAACCCTCGAATCTATCCAAAATATTATGAAACCCTTGTACAGTAGCAGGCCCACCTTGATCAAGGTGGGGTCACGTGTCCCCACTTTGATCAAGGAGGACTCAGGACCATGAAGGATTCTCAAGTAAGTCCCTCTTCTTTTTAAATGTCATAAAACCCCCCCAAGTTTTGAGGTTCTAAGAAAACCACCTTCAACTTTTAATTTTTACACCTCCCCCCTCCCCAACACACACAAAATCCGTAACTACCCGCGTAAAAAAAATTGTGAATGCAATTTTCACTTACAGAAATATCTCTTTGCGCAATTTCACCCATGCACATAAAATGTGCGATTAATATTGTTGAGGGGTTCTTTTGAAAGATATTGAAAGGGTTACTAATAATGTGATAGTATATTTTTTCTGACAAATATTAAAACTTGTTGGAGCAATTATAAAACTTTAATTATATAATAGCATCACTTTTCTACAAATCTTGAATCCGCCCACTTAGGGGGTGTTTGGTACAATTTCTATAAATTATAGGAAAAGGAAAACACCCAACTTTTAGAATTCCTTGTATTTCTTAAAAAGATTTAATAGGAAAAGTTTTGAGAAGTTAAAAAGTATAATTTTTTTGTACTTTGCTTGTTTGGTTAAAAACAAGAAAATGGACCCATAACTTTATAAAAATAGCAACTTTTCATTATCTTTGTTTGGTTACATATGCCAAATTTATAGAAAAGTGTCAATTACCATATATATCACTTTATAACGACTATTTTAATGGCTAGTTTCACATTAGTAAATCTTATAAAACCCTTCTATCCCCAACTATCCATGAACACAAAATTTTCACAATTTGGCTCAGCTATTTGTCTTTTATCAAAATTGACTGCCTCAACTAAAACATACAAGTTCACGTAGATTGCGTTCTAATAACGTAGTAAAGAATGCCTTATCTTATTATGAACATTACAAATTAGTTTGCAATCTTATTTAGTTGACCATCATCATCGCCAAAAGCTCAATCTGAGCTCCAAACGGAACGAAAACACCACAAACAACTCGAAATCCGAACAATATTATGTGAAGATAGAGCTAAACAAGCTCGAAGCAGCATAGTAACAAAAAACAGCCCCAACAGCTTGATTGAGTGAACAAATATCAATTAAAAAAACCTAACAATAGAGAGCTAAACAAGCTCGAATCAGCATAGTAACTAGAAAAACAGTCCCGATAGCTCGACAACGAGCACAAATATCAACAAAAAATCCAACAAAATAGATCTAAACAAGCTCGAATCATCATAGTAACAATAATGCAGCCCTAACAGCTCGACAACAACCAAAAAACAACCAAAAATCCAGTAATAAAGAGCTAAACAAGCTCGAATCAGCATAGTAACTGGAAAAACAGCCCCAAAGATCGACAACAAACATAAATATCAACAAAAAAAAACCCATTAATAGAGGGTAAACAAGCTCAAATCAACAAAGTAACGGGGAAAACAACCCCAACAGCTCGACAACTAGCACAAATATCAACCAAAAACCCAACAATATAGATCTAAACAAGCTCAAATCATAATAGTAACAATAAGGCAGCCCTAACAGCTCGACAATAACCAAAAAATAACTAAAAATCCAACAATAGAGAGCTAAACAAGCTCGAATCAACATAGTAACTGGAAAAACAGCCCCAAAGCTCGACAACAAGCACAAATATCAACCAAAAATCCAACAATAGAGAGCTAAACAAGCTCGAATCAACATAGTAATGGGAAAAACAGCCTCAACAGCTCGACAACGAGGACAAATATTAACCAAAAACCTAACAATATAGAGCTAAACAAGCTTGAACCATCATAGTAACAATAAGGTAGCCCTAACAGCTCGACAACAACCAAGAATACTTATTGGGCTCAGGATAAAAATATATTTACCATAAAATATTGCCTCACCTATCAATCTATGGTGAAATGTAGGCTGCTATTTTGATGGATTGCCTCACCCAAACATTGAAATATCAATAAGGGTTGCATTCCACACAAAATTGTCTCGCCTAAACAATACACAATAAATTAGGCTGCATTCTTAGTTTATTATCATCATCATCGCCCATAAAAAAATCGAATGAAAAGAGCCCATACTGTTGGATATCATGTC